AGCTAAAGTGATCTCCCCCTCAAGCCGCAGAGGCCTTCAGCCGAAGGTGCAACTCCCTCTGCGGGTTCAAACCTCAGAGAACCAAAGAACCAAATTCTTTGGACAAGTTGCCTGACGGGAAAACCTCCCATCAACAGCAACAGACCCTAGTTTGAATGGTTGAGGCTCCCGCTACGACGTAACCCCGTTAGCGTTAGCAAAATTCCCGTTTCAGTTATAAGGCTCTGTTTACCATTTCCAGCAATGCGTTTCGTACGCAGGAATGATGTTACCTTGCTCAGGAGTGCGCCCTGAGTTAGCTTTTTGGTTGGTTGGTTGGAGATCTTCATGCGGATGTGTGAATTTTTTCCTGCCCGCAGAGAGCGTCAGTCGGTGGCATTAAGCCTGTGACTGAGTGACTGTAGTGAACGCCCGTCGGATTTTCATTTACCGCGAAATGACGGAACGACTTGAGCACGGAATTCCATCAAATTTTGCCAAACGCTTGGCGATACCCAATTGGAAACCATTCGGAAGATTCAGCAGACGTTCGGCGAGATGCCATGAGCATCACACGAATTAAGGAGTGGTACAACCGCTTCAAAGATGGCCTCACGTCGGTGGAGGGCGAATCACGTTCCGGTAGACGAGGTCATTGACCAAGTGCGGACATTGGTCATGCAGGACCGTCGTGTCACCGTCCGAGAACTTGCGGACGAGGAAGGGGACAAGCATTCCATTTTGAGCGAGGATTTGGACATACTGGTTTTAATTCCCCTTAAAAGTCTGTCAATCTCGGCCAGGTTTGAACCTGCGACCCTTGGGGTTAGTGGTGGTCTTCGTAACTGCTAGTCCACTGAGGGCTTCTTCTTACGAAAATCTTCTGTGATGATGCCTCTTAAAATCAGTCATTCGGGTGCCTGGAATACATGAAACATTTACTTAAATGGGGGAAGGGATCGCCCCTTCTTTTTGTCTACAGTCATGTAGTACATCAGATACAACTTTAAAGCTGAAATCTAAAATGTATTTGTCAGTAATATGCAGTTTGATTTAAATTGTGTCATAATTAAGCATTTCACTAACTAAATTTTATTTGTTTCAGAATTTGTTATATATGAATATTTAATTTCTTTAGTGCAAAAATAAGGGTGCTTGCTACTCACACACTGTTTCTTAAAATAAAACATAAAACTGTGAGAGATCATGAGAGAAATGGACTTACAGTTACTGTTCTCCACTGCTCCCATGAACCTAACCTAACCTCACTCTCCCATAAATTGTCATCCTCTGTGCCACCTTCTTCTTAAAACTGTCATAGTCATATGTTCTGTGCTGGGCATTTTCCAAGCAGACTGGGCTAGGCATGGCCTGTGTTTGGTTGGTCTTAGGCACGTACTGGAGTTGTGTTGACTGGGTGTCATAGGTTTGCGTGGGAATCGAACATTCTTCGGCATGGGCTCTGATAGGCACTTGGAGAGGTCGTTATACGTGGGTTGCTCTGGGGTGGTGCTGGTGGTGCTCGAGGGGGTAGCAGTTGTCGCGGAGGTGGTCGTGGTAATGGACGTGGTGGTAGTGATCGTGCTATTTATAGTCGTGGCCATTGTCAAGTATTGGCAGTGCTTGTTGTGTAAAAAAGTTTCAAAACGGTCATAAAATTCACAAAAGAAGAAATAATGAAAAATTACGGAAATTTTAGGTATCTTCTGGACCATGTCTCTGCCTGACCGGGTCTCTGTTATTCTCTGACGGACACGGGATCTGAAACACCAGGTCTAAGCCAGACCCCGATGTGGCGGAACCGGTCACGTTCTCACCGGTGTCTGCCAGACCCGTTCTCTACAACATCCGCTCTAAGCTGGACCCGGTCTTTCGGACACGGTCTAAGCTGGAACCGGTCTCTCTCGGACACGGTGTCTGCCGCACCAGGTCTCTGCCGGATCCGGTATCTGCCGGATCCGGTCTCATTGTCTGCCAGTCTCGGTCTCTGTCGGACACGTCTTCTGCCGGCGAGAGTGACTGGTGAATCGAATTTCGAAATTCGAAAACTTTTCAAAAATTCGAAAAATTGTCAAATATAAACTAAAATAACTACAAAATTTCCTAAGTTTTAAAAAAAATTAAGTTTAAATTTTTATGTTTTTGAGCTTTTTGAACTTTTTTTATTTTCCGATTTTTTTTAAAAATTTGAAAATAGTTTCAAAATTCACCTATCACGGTATATGCTGGACCATGCTTCTGCCTGACTGGATTTCTGCCGTATCCGGTCTCTGCCAGTCGTAGTGACTGGTGGATCGTCTTTCGAAATTCAAAAATTTTCTAAACTTTGAAATTTCCAGAAAAATGTAAAAGGTTTTGGAATGTAATAAAAACGAATTTAAAAAATCGATTATTTTTGTTATTTTTAAAAAATGTTTAATTTTGTGCGCTTTTAGAAAATTTTACTACATTTTTTGTTAATTTAGAAACTTTTGAAAAATCTGAATTTTTTTTTAGAATTTTTCAGATTACGGTACCTGCTGCACCATTTCTCTGAATGATCGGTCTTCTGTTGGACACGGTCTCTACCACACCGGGCGTAAGCCAGGCGCGGTCTCTATCTGACCCTATGTCTGCCAGACCCGGGCTCTAACATACCCGGTCTGAGCCGGACACGTTCTCTGTCGGAACCGGTCTCTCTCGGACACTG